TCAAGGACAAGTCACTTTATATACAAAGTAGCAGTTGAATATGAACATTAAATCGAAGTCTCAATTTTATAATCTCATATTCTCTAAACGCTTAACTATAAATGAGTTTATTAGTCAATTCTCTATTAGATGCAAATGATAGGACCTTTGTCCACAATTTACCATAAGGGTTTATTATGCATTTACGTGCAAGAGACTAAGCTACCCAAGCCCATTACCATATTTTAAATCGGAAACCATCTAATCCAGTATAGTGGAGGAAGCGATTTCTCTCTAGCTTATGAAAATTTGGAAAACCTTTGCTCCTTTCCTTCTTCTGAAATTACTTCTTACCATAAATTAGATTTACTTTCTAGTTGTTAATATTTTCTGTTAAGAGTGCACTCAACCAGGATACTACCATTGAAGCTTGAGATCGTTACCGTATTTTAGCCCTTACACCAAGATATAAAATTTCTTGTGGGAGTGAAAATCAGTCTTCAAACTAGTCATTTCTACACGCCTTGGCATCTCAATTTATCTATTTTGTTTAAATTTAATTTAAGTTCTTTTTTCTCAAGTTGCTTCCGTTTTCGGTTAATATTTTGTTGGTCTTTCCCCTTTTTCTGCTTTTCCGATTACTTGGTGTTTGATATATATATATTTTTTTTTTCAATTTATTGGTGCAATACTCTAACGCAAGATTTGATTTGTTGTTCTTCCTAATTTAACATTGTAATTTCAGTTTCCATATTTGGTTGTAGAGTTTTGTTTACTTCCTTTCGTGGAAAAGGGAATTTTGTTATATTTTCTTTTGTTTGAGGCAAAAAAATTTGCAAATTTAGCATAAATAATTTGTCTTGATAATATGATGAAATTGCGGGGCTTACCAAAAGAATGATATTATAACTCATTCTTGTCCTTAAATAAGCATTTGCATAATCATCACCGTGACTAAAACAATTTTGGGGCCATTATGTTGTTTTTGTCAATGCTTTTTGAAGAAAATAAAATCCTAAAATAACCACCGGTTTAATGTGTAAACAAGAAGTTAAATCATACCTAGTACTGAATGTTCCTCAAACTTATTTATCCAACATTATAAGTTATTTCACCCAATTATATGTTTATGCTTTTCTAGTTATCTCATAACTCATCATGATCTTTTATTAATCATATGTTTTTTTACCACTATAAAATCGTAATTGCACTCTAGAACCCTGTATGAAAATAATGTTAAAGACAATCTGGACCATACTAACCGGTATGGGTTTCTGCATCCAGATACATAAACCTAAAAAAGTTTGGATTTGGTTCAATTAACCAAAAAAGAAAATGAATAAACCAAATTTAAATTTATTCTTAAATTTATCACACGTGTTCCATATTTGTCCTTTAAAAAAAAAATCCTAAACCACCAATTTTAGGGTTTTCTTCTTTTATTTCTTTGGTTAATACTTTCTACGTACCGAAATAATATATTGAATGTTATTTTTTGAATTTAAAAAGCGAAGCGAAATTTGAGAGGTGTTTTTTTGTGTAATTAAGGAGTTGGTCTAGTAGATGACGTGGTTAACACTTACGTAAAAAACATCTGAATCCTCCCAATTGCAACTCTCCAAATGCTGAATCAAACATCTACAAGTTTTGGAAAGCTTCCTTTATTCATGTCCTACAGTGTTTCTGGGTTCATCTGAATCCAGTCTACATTTTGTTACCCGTGCTGGTTGATTGGATGTTATGTGTCATCTTGAGAAGTTGTTGGCTTTGCTTATTCTCCAGTGGTGAAGTTGTTGGCTTTGCTTTGTTGGTTGCAGGATTCTCCAGTGGTGAAGTTGTTGGCTTTGCTTTGTTGGTTGCAGGATTCTCCACTGGTGAAGTTGTTGGATTTGCTTTGTTGGTTTCAGGATTCGCCGCTGGTGTTGGTCTGCTACTAGCAATTACAGTCAAGAGACTTATTATGTTTTGTTCTTTCTTTGCTCCGTTATTCAGTGCATCTGGGCTCAGAATGTGTTTACTTTGTTAACTGGGATTGGTGGCATCAGACCAAGGTTATTAGCTGCCTGTCGCTGTTCATTATAAAGATGAATGCTGTTTTGCATAGATTGTACAGTTCACTTATCATCGGTAGGCTCAGGCTTGTTTTTTGTTATGGGCCAGGGCTGTATAGGTTTTGTTTAAGCCTGGTTTATTTCTTTTCTCTTGTGATGAGCTCTTGGGCCTGTCCAAGTTGCGTATTAAACCTAATAATCAAATCAAACTAAACTCAATTTACGTGGTTTGACGTGTTTTAGTTTGTGACATATATCGGTTAGTTTATTCCTAATTTTGCCAAACTGAAATTATTTACTTTGGTTAGAATTTGATTAAACCTGAACCAAACTGATTTTTTAGTTCTTATAATGTTTGGCAATTTTAATCAATCACATACCAAAATTATTTAAAAGAAAAAAATTTAAAATAGCTAAAAAAGGGACAAAATTTTGTTAAAGGAAGTTAAATTTAACTCTTGAAAAGGTAAAAATAGTATTTGATAAATTTGTAATACGTCAGTTTTATATTATTTTAAAATAGAGCAAACGACATAATCCCACCCAAAGTTTGGGGAAATCTCAAGTTGGTACCCCTGGTTCAATTTATCCCGTTTTGCCACTCTTAATCTAACACCATTTACTTGGTTTTAACAGTAAAAGGTAAAAACGACATCTAAGATAAATTAATTCAACTAATAAAGAAGCCTAGGGAAATTTTGTCAATTAAATTCAAATAATAAAAAAATAATAAAGAAGCTTAGGAAATTGTTGCAAAATGTGTAAAGAAAGATAAGTATGACGGCTGGAGTTATTGCAAATGTTAGGTGAAAAAAAAAAAAATTTCTCTAATAGTCTTTCATTTTCTCTTTCAAACGAAAATGCTTATTCTTTTCTGAAAAGCTAACCCACAGACATTAACTCACGAACCTCATCACCTGTGCAACAAAAATGGCAGCCATTAATCCTTCTGACCTTCTTCCCATCCCATAGTCGAACTCGTAAGCCTCACCGAATCCTTGCCACTTGGTTTTTCTGCTTTGACTCCTAAACGAAACGACAACCAAACCTAGACCCATTAACCCGAAACCATCGTACCGGTCGCGCAAACACAACCTTGGGAGGAATACGAGCCATCAATGAGAAGAGAAATCTCGCCGATTAAAGGAAGACGAACGACGGGTAAAGAAAGACGACAGTTCGAGGAGATGGACGATATGGCGAAGTGGTCTGCGGCAAGGTATATCGATAGTTTATTTACGTATTTTTTGTATATGGTTTGTGCTGGATTTTTCTGTGGATTGGTTTTTTTGTTATATGTTTGGTGGTGGTGATTGGTGTAAGGGTTGTGGTGGTGGCGTTAGGGTGATTATTGGGTGGTGGTAGATGGATTAGTGGCGCATGTTTGGTGGTTCAATGGGGGTATGTTGGTGACGGTGATTGTATGATGTCGTTAGGGTGATTGTTGGGTGGTGGTAGGATGGTGATAGTGGTAGTAGGGGGCTTTAAGACTACGGTTAGGGTTTTGGTGTAGTGGTGGTTTAGGATATTGGTGTTGCATGACAGTATTAGTATTGGTTGTTGTGTGTATATGGTGATTTAGTGGTGGTACAGTTGACAGTGGTGTTATGGTGACTTTCGGTATATTGGCTGGAAACCAGTAATCGTCTTAAATGTTGCCTAGTAGTGGTTGACAACTTCTGATGTAACAATGCCACATATTAAGGGTGGTGGTCTGGTGGTGGTATGGTGGTATTAGGGGGCTTTAGGATTAGGGTTAAAGTTTTGGTGTAGTGGGGGTTTAGGATATTGGTGTTGCATGGCACTGTTAGTATTGGTGGTGGTGTGTGTATGGTGGTATAGTGGTGGTAGAGTTGATGGTGGCGTTAGGGTGATTTTTGGTATATTGGCTGGAAACCAGTAACTATCTTAAATGCTGCCTAGCAGTGGTTGACGACATTTGGTGTAACAATGCCACGTACCTTGAGTGGTGGTCTGGTGGTGGTAGGGTGGTGATGGCTGTTATAGGGTGGTGGTAGTTGATTTTTTGATGGTGGTAGTTGATTTTTTGATGGTGGCGTTAGGGAGATTTTGGGTATATTGGCTAGAAACCAATAACTGTCTTAAATGCTGTCTAGCAGTGGTTGACGACATCTGGTGTAACAATGCCACGTACCTTGGGTGGTGGTTTGGTGGTGGTAGGCTGGTGATGGCTGTTGTAGGGTGGTGGCAATTGATTTTTTGTTTATAATTGCTTGGTTGTGTTTGTTTATGCAGACTGAAACCAAATTCCTATGACTTTAAAGTTGAAGTGTTTAATTTAGAATATGAAATACTAAATGTTGATCCGGATGAGTATAGTTATATATGTTTTATTAAAGATGTGAAACGATGTGTGGCTTCAGAGAATGAAGTTGTCGAAATGAACCCTTATGAGAAGTTTAAGGTAGAGGTTGAGCTACCCTTGTCAGGGGCTAGATACATAGTGGAAAGGGATGATGATATGGAAGTCATATGTTAGCAATATAAGAGTTTTGGCAAACGAGTGATAAGGGTCTATGTAGAAGCCATACCAGTGGACTTTATTGAACCTAGAACTTTATTAGAAACCCAACTAGAGGACAATGAGGGTTTTGTGAGGCAGGATAATGAGGAAGCTGAAGAGGGTATTCCAGATGAGTTCTATTGGAATGTTGAAAGTGATCATGAAGAAGACCATGAGAGTGGGCAGGATGGACAGGGAAGTGGGGTGGTTGAAAGAATAGAAACTGGACAAGAAAGTGGGGTGGTAGAGGGAATTGAAATTAGGCAAGGTAGTGGTGGGGTTGAGGGAAATCAAACTGGGCAAGGTAGTGGTGGGGTAGAGGACATTGAAGTTTAAGGGGAAATATCTGATCACATTCACCCCATACCTAACCCACTTAGTTGGCCTGACTTGCTTGGGGGTAGGCAGTTGAATCCACCTATCAAACATAGCTAAGTTGAGAGACCCAAAAAGGCTAGAAAAAAGGATGCTGATGAAGAACCAAGGATGACCAAAGGTGCAACACTTAGGTGTGGGATCTGTCGAACTTTAGGACATAACAAGAGACGCTGCCCACAAAATCATTCAAACAATAAGAATTAAAGGGTATTTTAAAGCTTTTATTTAGCATGATTAGTATTGTTTTTGTAATTGGATTTGCTTGCATTAACATTTGTTTTCTATGCTTTGTTTAGAGAGGAGAAGCTTCATCAGCCCCAATAAGTTAGACATGTCAACATTGAAGCAATTGTCAAGGGTAGCAGGTTAGTGTAACATCAGTCCTTCAAATTTTAACATTGTGATATTGCTTCAAACTGTCAAGGGCAGCCCCTTAAATTGATTTTATGATTTTTTTCAAGAACTTAAGGAGTGTGGAGTTGAAGCATGCTGTTGTTTTTGGGTGTGATAAAACTATAGAAGCATGATGATGGTTTTTTTTTATGTGTGGAGTTGAAGCATGCTGTTGTATTTTGGTGAAATTTGGGGAAGTTGTACATATGACTTTGTTTGTTAGTCTTGGTGTGCAAATATGGTGTGATAATATTGTACAGATAGCAACTGATTTAGGTTGTCTATTGTGAATGTTGTAATTGATTTAGGATTGCTACTGTGGGTTTTTTTTTATATGTAATATGCAGCTTTAATTTTCTGTTTTTGGACTGTTGATCATCACATTTCAAAGCCAAATTATGTATTTTTCATATATATGTTCAATGCAAAAGTGTTTAACTCAGTATGTATGGTTGTAGTATGATCTTTGATGTTGGTTTTGTGTAGGATGTGTTTGTGTTCAAACTTGAAACTTTTCAGGATGTATGCCAATTTTTAAGAAATATTACTTTGCCATTATACAGCTAAACCCTCAACATTCAAACAATTGTTGCTGAACTTTCAAACGGTTTAAGGGCATTAGGGTAATTTCATTATATTTGGAAAATAAACTAAAGATAAGGGCATTTTTGGTTTTTTACAGTCTATTTAGTTTTTATTTGCTAAATAATCTAAAGTTAAAGGTTCAAGGGTATTTCAGTCATTGTTACTCACTGTTACCATGTCAGATCCATCCGTTATTAACAGTGTTAGATTAAGGTTGATAAAACGGGATAAATTGAACTAACCGTATCAACTTGGGATTTCCCAAACTTCGGGGGGATTATGTCGGTTGCTCTTTTAGAATATCTCTACTTAAAAGACCAAAACCAGAAAAATGTAGAAAACAAAATTAAAAAAATCCAAAACAAAAACCATAAATAATATAAAATACGGGGCTTCATCGGCAGGACAAATCACGGTCTAGTTGAAGCTCACAGAAGTTCAAACTTGAAACCATGAAAAACCAGCCTCCATTAACAAAATTCTCAAACATCAAGAGAGGAACAGAAAGAGACGTGTTAGCTTGTAAAAAATGGTTTCTCTCTCATTCTCACATCTAAATCTTAAGAAGAAAATAGAATATTTCACTCTCTAATGCACGAAAATATAGATGTGAGATCCAACTAGACAATCATTTAAAAACAGAAAAAAAAAAAAAATTAAACAAAAGTAAATTACCATTTAAACAACTGCGAGATAGATGATAACATTTTTTTTTCTTACCAGATATGTTAGAAGAAAAAAAGAAACCAACCAGTAACCACTCCCCTAGTCTCACTCTCTTTCTATCNTGAAATTCATATTTGAGCAATATAAGAGTTTTGGCAAGCGAGTGATAAGGGTCTATGTAGAAGCCATACCAGTGGACTTTGTTGAACCTAGAACTTTATTAGAAGCCCAACAAAAGGACAATGAGGGTTTTGTGAGGTAGGATAATGAGGAAGCTGAAGAGGGTATTCTAGATGAGTTCTATTGGAGTGTTGAAAGTGATCATGAAGAAGACCATGAGAGTGGGCAGGATGGATAGGGAAGTGGGGTGGTTGAAGGAATTAAAACTAGACAGGAAAGTGGGGTGTTAGAGGGAATTGAAATTGGGTAAGGAAGTTATGGGGTTGAGGGAAATCAAACTAGGCAAGGTAGTGGTGGGGTTGAGGGAAATCAAACTGGGCAAGGTAGTGGTGGGGTAGAGGACATTGAAGTTCAAGGGGAAATGTCTAAATACCATGAGGACAGTTCATATGAAGGGTTTACTGATGATGAAGATGCAGTAACTAGGTTTAGCAAGCACATGAAGGGTCAACAGTTTGCATATGTGGATAATGGGAAAATCCACTTCAAAGTTGGTCAAGTGTTTGAGGGAGTTGATCACTTTAGGAAGGTCTTTCAAGATTATGTAATTCAGAGGGGGTTTTCTGTTAGGAAGATTCACAATGACAGAAGAAGATTTAAGGCCAAATGTAAGCAAGCAAACTGTCCATTTCATCTATATGCTGCTTTGATGTCTGATGATGTGTCTTTTCATATTAGGAAATATAGGCACACACATACATGCACGAGGGTTTATAATAATAGAGAGGCAACAACTGCTTGGGTGGCTGAAAAAATGGGAGACTTCATTAGATCCCAAAAGGGTTCATCAATTAAGCCATTGGTAGACGCGTTTGGTAGGAAACACTATCTGCAGTTGTCTAGATCCAAACTTTATAGAGCTAATAAGCTGGCAAATGAGAGGTCAGATAAGCTCTATGTAGAGTCCTTTACTAGTTTGTTGAAATATGATCACATTGTCAAACATACCAACCCAGGTTGCATGTATAATGTGAAATCTGTTAGTCCAGAAGGGATTCCAAACTTTCAGAGGTGTTTCCTAGGATTTGCAGCACAAAAGAATGAGTTTATAGAGGGCTGTAGGCAGTTTATAGGTGTTGATGGTTGCCATCTTAAAGGGCCTTATGGTGGAGTATTATTATCAGCAGTTTCTATGGATGCTAACAGTGGCATTTTCCCAGTAGCAATTACCATTTGTGAGATAGAAAATAAGGAATCATGGAAATACTTTATGACCCTATTGAAGGGGTTTATAGGGGACATTGACTCTATCACTATCATGAGTGATAGGCAGAAGGGTTTGGTGGATGCTATACAGACCTGTTGGCCAAATGCTAGTGTTAGATATTGTGCTAGACATGTTTATGATAACTTTGGGTGAAAATTCCCTGGGTTAAGGTTAAGGAACTTGTTTTGGGCTGTTAGTAGGGCTGCCAATATTATTGATTTTCAACAAGCCATGGAAAAGGTTGAAGCTGCAGATAGAGAAGCTCATAGGTGGATGATTGAAAATGATGTGAGATCCTGGTCAAGGCATGCATTCGACCTTGATTCCAAATCTGATCATGTTACAAATAATATGTGTGAAGTCTTTAATAGCTGGTTGGGAGAGAATAGAGAATTACCTATACTAAGCTTGTTAGAGCATTATAGGAGGAGGGTTATGGTATAGATGCAAGCTAGGGCAGAGGTTAGAAATGATTGGGTCGCAACTGTTCCCCCTACTTTACATAGGAAAATCAATGGTCTAATTGAGCCTGCTAGGAATGTTGAAGCTATCTTGCTTGGGAGTGATGAAGTGGTGGATAACAACTGCCTTCCCAGTAGACGTTACATATTAAACCTTCAATCTGAAACTTGTGACTGTGGAATGTGGCAACTTTCTGGAGTCCCTTGTGTGCATGCAGTCCGCTGTTTGCTTTTTAGGAACATTAGAAATATGGAGGATTATGTGGACTCTTCATTAAGGATCACTTCATACATAAAAACATATGCTGATCACATTTATCCCATACCTGACCCACTTAGTTGGCCTAACTTTTTTGAGGGTAGGCAGTTGAATCCACCTATCAAACATAGTAAGGTTAGGATACCCAAAAAGGCCAAAAAAAAGGATGTTGATGAAGAACCAAGGATGACCAAAAGTGCAACACTTAGGTGTGGGATCTATCGAACTTTGGGACATAAAAAGAGACGCTACCCACAAAATCATTCAAACAGCAAGAATCAAAGAGTATTTTAAAGCTTTTATTTAACATGATTAGTATTGTTTTTGTAATAGAATTTACTTGCATTAACATTTGTTTTCTATGCTTTGTTTAGAGAGGAGAAGCTTCATCAGCCCAAACAAATCAGACATGTCAACATTGAAGCAACTGTCAAGGGTAGCAGGTTAATGTAACATCGGTCCTTCAAATTTTAACATTGTTACATTGCTTCAAACTGTCAAGAGCAGCCCCTTAAATTGATTTTATGATTTTTTTTTCAGGTACTTAAGGAGTGTGGAGTTGCAGCATGTTGTTGTTTTTGGGTGTGATAAAACCGTAGAAGCATGATGTTGGTTTTTTTGGATGTGTGGAGTTGAAGCATGCTGTTGTATTTTGGTGAAATTTGGGGAAGTTGTACATAGGACTTTGTTTGTTAGTCTTGGTATGCAAATATGGTGTGATAATATTGTACAGATAGCAACTGATTTAGGTTATCTATTGTGAATGTTGTAATTGATTTAGGACTGCTGTAGTGGGTTTTTTTGATGTAATATGCAGCTTTAATTTTCTGTTTTTGGGCTGTTGATCATCACATTTCAGGGCGAAATTATGTATTTTTCATATATATGTTCAATGCAAAAGTGTTTAACTCAGTATGTATGGTTGTAGTATGATCTTTGATGTTGGTTTTGTGTAGGATTTGTTTGTGTTCAAACTTGAAACTTTTCAGGATGTATGCCAATTTTTAAGAAATATTACTTTGCCATTATATAGCTAAACCCTCAACATTCAAACAATTGTTGCTGAACTTTCAAACGGTTTAGGGGTATTAGGGTAATTTCACTATATTTGGAAAATAAACTAAAGATATGGGCATTTTTGGGTTTTTACAGTCTATTTAGTTTTTATTTGCTAAATAATCTAAAGTCAAAGGTTCAAGGGTATTTCAATCATTGTTACTCGCTGTTACTGTGTCAGATCCATCCGTTATTAACAGTGTTAGATTAAGGGTGACAAAACGGGATAAATTGAACCAACCGTATCAACTTGGGATTTCCCCAAACTTCGGGTGGGATTATGTCATTTGCCCTTTTATAAGATATGTCTTCAATTTCAACAATAAATCAATATAATATAATATAACGGTAAAAGTAAAATTCATCCTTACTTTATAAGATATTTTAAATTTAAAAAAAAAACCAATATAATATAACTAAAATCCATCCTTACTTTATAAGATATTCTTCGATTTAAAAAATAAATCAATATAATATAACAGCTATTATTTTTATTTTCATCCTAAAGGGATAAGGTGAGCTTGGCTAGGTGTAAGATAAAATTATACGTGGTTCATTAATATAAAAATAATATTATTGTGGTTTATTATTTTAATAGTTAAACACAATGACATATATATTTGACAAAAGTTTATTTCTTAGAAACTTGATCTTCACTCTGCCTATTAAAGAAAGTCAGAACATGTTTTCTCTGTCAATAGCAAAACAAAAGTTCTGGAAAATTAAAGAGAGGAAAGGAGAGAGAAACCAATATTCTTAATCAAAGAAATCATCATCAACTAGTATCATGGCTCAAGATATGTCTTTTCTAATTAACAGTTTATTATTATTTTATAACATGTAAAATTCTTAAAATTCAAAGATACTATAATTTAATGTTTCATATAAACTTATTTATATGTG